CGGATCTTGAAACAGAGAAGTACGGTTGAATTAGCATTTTCAGTCCTTTCGATCGTGTTCTTGCGCGACTATAATGTTTAATAGCATTTAGTTGTACTCGAATCGGGATCGGTGGCAAATAAGTCGCTGCATTTTTGTCGTTACTGTTTATGAGCCTAAGGATTTTGTTAAACAAGTGTCGGTTTCCCGTACGAGGTTCAAAAATGTGTAATAAAAGGATAACGTGTAGTGATTACTAACTGGCACGTGTGAAGTATTTTGCTTAAACGCGTATATTTGACTCTGCAATCATTCGAATCGGTAGGTGTAATTATTTTTTATTCTCAATGATTCTACGGAGTTACTAAACAAAGATGATAACGGCATAAAGAGCATTAAGTTGTTAGAAGAACTAAGAAACGAAATACAACTCGTCTTTTTCTTCACGAAAATATAAATTCGTTTTCTGGTGAATTCTTGTTTATAACCGTGTGTCTCCTTTTTCAGAAGTGCGTCGGGTTTATATTGTGTGGCCGAAATGTTCAGAGGTAATAACAGCAATACAGCAGCTCCGTCTTATCTCAACAATCACTTCCAATATCCTCCAAACGTGTCGAATCAGCAGCAGTTATGCGGGAACTGTGAGTTTTCTTGTGATATATTTATCGTTTAATTGAAGAGATCATAATTAAGTACTTCCGTTTAGTTATGTTTTGGCATTTCTAATGCTGTTCTTTGATGTGTTTTATGTTCCGTCTTTGGTGCAGTACCTGTAGAATTTCATGCCGATCCTGTAAATTATATCGGAAATAATCACGGGACTCCAATCCTCCTGCCAAACGAAGCTATTCCGAGAAAGCAAAAGCTTCAATTCTCCCTAAATAATAATAATAAAGCTTTTCACGAAGAACACGACAGAAAAGCCAGCATCCACAACCTGAATCACGTGTCCACTGGTTTAAGGCTCTCGTGCGACGATGAAGAGCGAAATTCCTCTATTACATCTGCAAGTGGAAGCCTTACCTCTTCGGTTCTTTCCTCTCTGACCAATGACATCAAAAGAGAACTCGATCAACAAAATCAAGAACTCGACCACTTCATTAGAATTCAGGTCTCGAACCCACTTTTTTTTTTTTTAATTGTACTGAAAATCCGAAAAAAAAAATTGAATCTTTGCTAAATTTACTGACAAATTAATCACAGGAAGAAGACATGGTGAAAGGGGTGAGAGACATAAGGCAGAAACACATCACTTCTTTCCTCGCTTCTCTGCAGAAAGGGGTCGTCAAAAAGCTGCGCGAGAAAGATCTCGAACTAGAAACAATAACTCTTAAAAACAAAGAACTCGTCGAGAGCGTGAAACAAGTGACCAACGAAGCTCAAAACTGGTGCTACATGGCTAAGTACAACGAATCGGTTGTGAATGTTCTGAAAACCAATCTACAGCAAGCTGTGGAAGGTTCCAACAGGATAATAGAAGGACAAGGAGAGAATGAAGAAGCGGCCGACGATGCTAATTCTTACGTCGATCCGAACAATTACCTCAAATCCAGTTCGTTGAGGAAAAACGTGACGTGCAGATCATGCAAAGCGAAGGAGGTATCGGTACTTTTAATGCCGTGTAGGCACCTCTGTTTGTGTAAGGAGTGTGAAGGTTTTGTCACTGTTTGTCCTGTCTGTCAGATGGTAACAACTGCTTGCCTTGAGGTGTATCTATCTTGAAAAGAAAAAAATTAAGAATCAAAATTCACTTATATAAATTAAAAGATTATTCGCCTTTTTTTTTACTTTTTCCGCTCGAGATTTTTTTTTCTCCATATATTAAGGCCTCGTTTGGTTGGTTTTGGTCATATTAAGTCGTGATTAATTGAATAAACGGGTCTTATTTGATGTTTGGTTAGTCCAATAGTTTTTCAAGCTGAACCGACGATTATCGAAAATTTTGAGCTTTTATATGGTTAAGTACAATTTGCTACCTATTAATTTTTTTTTATATCATATCATTCCCAAGAAACCATTATTTCCATTGACAGGACTACGGAAGCTTTTACGCCGAGTGAAATACATCAGATATATTTTTACTATTTATTCACACGAAACACGCACACACACATATTGGTGTGTAAGTGAACGCCAAAGATCACCCGTTGTAGATTTCACCTGGCATAGCATGAAATTGATGACGATCAACAGAATTATTACCTTCAAGGTTCTTAAACCATCACCGTTTATTCACACACACGTTACGAAAATATCTGACTATTATGTTTGAAACATAATAAGATGCACATTCCCTCCCATACAACAGCTTACACCCCCCGGCACCCGTAACGCTTGTCTAAAACCTATCTCGTTCCTGTTTGATGAAATCCCTGCACTTCCTCCAAGTGGGCCCCACCACATCCTCCGGGGGGCTCCCAACCCCACCGTCGTACCGAAAGTGGTGCGTCGAGCCATCAGCCTCCACGTAAAGATTCTTCAACCCCGGAAAAATCCACCGAACCCCATCTTCCAGCTGAGCAAGGTTTTTCACCGCCCCACCTCCCCTCACATGAATCTTCAATTCTCCAAGACATTTCAGCTGCGGAAGCAAACGCTTCCTCAACTCGTGGGGGATAATTAAATCCGTTTCGTGCTCGCACCGAATCCAGAGTGTCCTGCAGTGATCGAATCTCGAGCACATCTGCTTCAACTTGTGAAACCAACGGCTGCAAATCTCGGGACCATCCATGTGGATTATTGCGTCCATTTGAGGCGACGAGACCATCGATGGGAAGGTTATCATATGGCCGGAGTATTCGAATGCTCGTAAAGTTGGAGCTTCGATTTTGGCGGAAGCTAGGTGTTTGCATTTGAACAGAACGAACATCCATAGATTTGGGGAATTCACCACTGCGTTCCTCAAACCGGAGCAGTGGCTGAGAATCATTATCTCGAGATTCGGATTGTGGAGCGTGGTTTTCTCGAGGATGTCGTCGGTTAGATTCGAGGCTCGTTGTAGCCATAGGAATTTCAGCTTTCGGCATGAAGAAATGTCGATTTTATCCGGATTGTGCCTCTTTCCTCGAAAGAGGAACGATTCGATGTTTGGTGATTTGACTGTGATTTCTTCTAGAGGAGAGCATTTGAAAATCACGAGCATTTTTAGGTTATGGCAGGAGATTTGGATTCGTTCCAGTCCGCAGACGAGGGAGAGGTTGATTTTCTCGAGGAGGGGGCTGGCGGAGAGAATGCTTTCGAAAATTGAGTCGGTGACGTGGACGTTTATGAGATCTAGGTTTTTTAGGCGGGGGAGCTGGACGGCAGCGGCGGCGGCGGAGGTGAGGTCGCAGAAGACGAGCTCCAGGCATTGGATTGATTTGGCGGTGAAGACGGATTGGGGGAGCGTGTAGGGTACTCTGAATGGGTGGAAGAATTCGGCTATGGCGATTAGGTCTTTCATCTCGGCGACGATGCTCAGCTCCTTGACGTTTCTCTCCAGCGCGAAGGCGATCCAGCTGTGGAGGCGCGGGGCGACCTCGTCGACGAATCGCATCGAGATTTTGAATTTATCGACGGTGAGATCGTTGAAGAAGCGCCTCCTGAAATCTAGGGATTCGTCGACGAATCGGATGAAATTCTGGCGGCTGCGGTACCACTGGAGGAGCGGCGGCGGACGGCCGTGGAAATCCCGCTCGTCGAAGGTGAAGGAAGGGCAGGCGCACCACATGAAGCGCCACCGCCGCGAGAGGAACGCCGTCCTCCTTGCGTCGGTGGAGGGGAGGAACGAGACGATGTGCTGGCAGAGAATGTCTGGGAGCGCCGACAGCCTGTCCTCGCCGTCGCCATCTTCACCGGAGGTTTCTGCATCGGGATAGTGCAATTTTCCGATGGGTGAAGTGTGGTTCAAGTAGAAATTGGGCAGATCCTCCAGCAAGTATGCATCGACAACAAAATCTATAGATTTCTCCATGATTTTGTTTTTTCACATACTTGAATAGAAGGATTCAAAATTGAAAAAAAATATATTGATTTTTTTTTTTTGGTTTATTCTTTGATGTGGGGTGGTCAAAAAAGTATTCCATTGAAGGAGGGAAATCAGCTTAAATTGGTGGTCTGGATACAAACTAATTTTCCCTCGCATTTTTCACATCCTTCCATTTTTTTTTATTAATTAATTCTTGTATGCCTTAATTGTGATTACGTAATAATTAAAAAAATTACATTTTAAAAATTCGAACAATCATGCATAAATAACCACCTGTTTGCTATATGGGCTCATATTATTGTTGGGTTATTAAAAGAATAGTATTGAGCCCGGCGGCCTGCATGCAAATTGCTACATTTGGTCCATTAAAAAATCCAGTTGGTTGATAAGAAACGTAACAGAGTTATGTAATTAATTAAAGAAATTAATGAAATTAAAGTAACTCCACAAATTCATTAATTACCACAAATTAAATTAACTTGTATAAATCAATAATTAATCACTTAATTAACAATTGAAGAAATATTCACTGTAGCTTATCTTATTGCCAAAATGGGAGCTTCATTACACAAAATTAGTTTTCTAGTATTGGCTTTGTTTGTAGCCTTTATTGCAATTTTGGTACAAACTGGACACTCAACAACCCCCAAGCCACAATCACAAGCCAACAAAGCTCCGCCGCCCGCCAAAGGGAAAGCGGCTGTGCCACCTACAGCCACCCATCGGAAACAGCCACCTGCAGCCACCCATCCTAAGGTGGTTGCCAACAAGCCATCCACATCACCACCTGCAGCCTCCAATCTTAAGGCGGCTGCCAAGCCAGCACCATCGCCACCCGCAGCCAGCCATCTTAAGCCCGCTGCCAAGCCAACACCGACACCTCATAAGCCAGCTGATGCCAAGCCATCACCATCGCCACCCGCAGCCAGCCATTTTAAAGCGGCTGCCAAGCCAACACCGCCACCATCACATAAGGCGGCTGATGCCAAGCCGTCACCATCACCACCTGCAGCCAGCCATCTTAAGCCGGCTGCCAAGCCAACACCGCAAGCCACCGTCCACGCCAAGGCTGCAAAAGCTCCTACAGCCACGAAAACGAAACCAGCAACCAAGGCAGCACCACCGCTACAACATCCGAAACTGATAGCGAAGAAGCCGGCACCACCACTAGCCAACAAGCAGAAGGCGGCTGCAAAGTCAGCAACACCGCCGGTTGCCGACACGGCTCCCAAACACACGGCTTCTCCGGCCATCCATTCAAAGGGATCAGATCGAAAAGCCGACGAACAACACTAATGCCAAACATGTACATGCATAACTGAAACACGTACGTACGGCAGATAATTTTTTATGCATGGCATGTAATTATGTAATTCAGGGAGGATGATCTACGTACTGCATGTTAAATAATAATTTTAGTTTGCGATTAATAAAACATGATCCTCTTGTCAATTAGCTGTTAGAAAATGTTATATAAACTTTGAACATCATAAAAATTAAACACTGATATAATCAGTGGCGGAGGGTGGGCTAAAATTTTACGGGTGTTCGCACGTAGAGCTCCTGAATTTTTTCAAGAGTTTTTTTCGAAAATATACAGCAAACTAAATAGAAATATGTATATTTTAATTAAATTATATAAATTAAATTATATATTGTCCAAAATATAATTATTGGAACTTTTTAAACTACATTACAAATCTCTTGGGTGTGATAATTAAATTGGATTATGATTAAAAATAGTGTATAAAAGGGTTAACTAAACATAATTAGCATTAAAATATTGCATAAAAAAAGGATAAATGGCAAATAAGCCCATGACAAGGACACTTAATTAAAAGAGGGACATCCAACTTTTTTGTCTTTCAAATAAATCCAGCTCATTCGAACTTATTTGCAAATAAGGAAAATCCCTTTATATATAGCAAAATTACCCCCAATTCATTGAAACTCAATTCAACTTCAATTTCATGATTTACACCCCAATTTAGCCCAATTTCATCAATTAACCAATTTTAACCATAATTTCAATTTTGACCCGCCACCACCGGAGACCTCCGGTCGCCGGCGTTGACTTTTTTTTTTTTTAACTTTTTTTCCCCTGAATTTTTTTTTCCGACCGTTCAACTGCCGTTGACCGCGGTCTGAGACAGTAATTTAGTAGTTAAGTTAGTTATATTAATTAAAATATTTTTTTTCTAAGAAAAAAAAAAAAAAAAAAGTCAACGCCGGAAACCGGCGGTCTCCGACGGTCAACACCGGAATCTGGCCGGAAAAAAAACATTTCAGAAAAAAAAATTGTTCTGAAAAAAAAAATTGGGGGTTAATGTGATATATTTGTTTAAATTCAGGTCAATGTGTAATATTAAGGAAGTTAGAGCATAATGGGTGGAATTGATAATAATTATATTATAGAGGGTATTTTGGACTAAAGACATGGAATGAGTTTAATTGAGAGACTTTTTTTTTTTTTTGATAAAAATGCATTTAAGTTCCATGTGGTGGCCTTTTTGTCATTCGCCAAAAAAAATCAGGGTGGACTTTAGCTCACCCACAACTCCACATAGCTCCGCCGCCACTGGATATAATGTATGTGATTGCGTTTAATTTAAATAGATTAAATAATTCAAATCCCCTGATATATAATTATAAAGTGTAAAACACAATTTGCATTCTTGATGATCAAGATTGATAAATTAAATGTAATTCGAAAATTTAAATAATATTTCAAAGGAAATAATATAATGATAGCTAAAGCAAAACTATACTCCGTTCCATGAAAGCTTTATACAAACAAAATCACAAAATCGTGTAAATACAATACAATCACAGAATAAATAATGAGACGAAAATATTTTTTGCTTTTGTCCGTAAATATTATGAATGAATGAATGGTTGCTGAGCAGTTATGACAACCACGACAAATAAATATTATTACACACAACCAAATCAGTACTGTGTAAAATCTGTTGCTTTGGGCTTAAAAGGAAACTATTCTTCTTGTGTGAACAGTGAATTTATATATTATTTTTTTCAACAAAAAAAATAAAATAAACAGTGAATATTATTAATGAAGCTGTTGTCGATCGTCAGCTAAACTTCTAGAATCATCCGTGAATCTCTTTCTGTGGGTTCAGAATCACAATTTGTATATATGCTGCATTAAATAATTTTTAGCTGCATGCATGTATTATTCAATTAATTTAACTTATATATAGGTGCTTTGGGTTTTATCTATTCTACACCCGGTGAAGGTTACACCGGGTGATTTTTTACCGTTGATCTACACATACTAATGTGGGTGTGTGTGCGTGTTTATGTGTATATAAATGGTAAAGATGTACCCAATGTATTTCACCCGGTGTAGGATCTCAAAAGCTGGTGCTTTGGACAAAAAACAATTAATACGATGATCGATTGCATATTGTCTTTCATACATTAATTATTATCGAATTTTAGCGTAGTTTGGTTGTGTGAATTTCATTTATCGATCGAGAAACTTTCTTTTTTGGTATTTTTTCATATACACGTAACCTCATATTCTAGCATATATATATATATATATATATATATATATATATATATATATATATATATATATATATATATGATCAAAAAATCATGTGTGATAAATGTATCAATCTAGGGATAATTAGTCTTGATTTTGGTGGATGATGATGTAAAAAATAAATCACCTAATGTGTTGAAGCTGGGAGAGCAAAGTAGGTCACGTGCTCACGAGCTAGATAGTCCTGAGAACTTTAATTTGCTCTAGGGTCCTGCGAACAGAAAACACGTAATCTAAGCCGGGGGTTGATCCGGCGGAAACCCCTCCGACGCTCAAGTCAGACGTGAGGATAGTTGGTAATTGTAGAGAGAATTTCTCAAGAAGAATTGATTGAATAATAATAACGTACCTTTATTCAATGAATTTAAGTTGTATTTATACTTTATTGATTGGGCCGAGATCAGTTTATCAGGCCCAACTTTCTTTGGGTGTGATTGGGCCTTCGTATAAATAGCTAATAAGTTGGGCCTGTGGCCCAGTAAATATGGGTCTATTGGGCTGGGCCAATAGGCATATCATTAAGCCCCCCACTCTCGAGTCGATGTGGGAGAGAACTGGTGTGAAGTGCCGGATCGTGTCGAGAGTAGAATTGTATTTCGTTCTTCGTGTTTGTGTCGTCGACGGGGGGAGAATAATAATAATAATTAATTATTATTATTGTGTGTGCCGGAGTCGTGGGCGGATTTATATTTAAAGTGCATAAATATAAAAATTTGCTTAGTAGTAGGTAAGTCCTTGTGAAATCAGTAGAGGAGAGTATCAAGAACCCCGCCGAATAAATATGGGTGAGTAATCAAATTTATTCTTTTATATATCTCTCTCTTTTATTTTGCTCCATATACTTCGTTGCAGAAAAGAATTTATTCTCTGGTTGAGAAGATCAGCAGATAAAATAATTATATGTCCCAAGTGGGGAAGACGAAACAGTTGAAAATTATTCTGCGAAAGTCGATTGTAGAGACCGAGATGACCTTTGGCACCGTAGGGAAAGTACTTGGGTCGAGTTCCGGTAAAAAAATTGCACCGGAGAAAGAAGCCGCGCGTTCCGATTGCACGCGATTAGGGTTATCCGGAGAAATTGCTGCGGAACCAGTAGAAGAAGCCGCGCGGCTCGAGGTTGTGAGAGGAGCCGCGCGGCTCGGTTCCGCGCGAAGTGGAGCCGCGCGATCGGTGTGTGTGGGTGAAGCCGGGCGCGGAGCCCGGAGTGGGATGGAGAGAGAAGAGAGAGAGAAGGAGAGAGAAAAGGGGGTAGGTGGGTTTGTTGGGTATTGTTCACGTGGGGGTGGA